GGGCAGGGCTGACTGAGCGGCCCTGGGCAGCGGCTCCTCGCCTCTCCTCGCCCCGGCGCCAGGTAGGGCCCCGACTAGGGTAGGCGCCCGGCTCCCGGGCTTCTTCCTCCTCCCTCAGGCAGGCCCGGGGGTCTGGGGCCGGGCCCCGGGGAAGGCTGGGCTCCCGCCCGGCCGCAGGCTGCACAGGCGGGTGGGGCTGGGGGTGGAGGGGAGTGGGACGCGGCCTGGCCCGGATCCCGCCTGGCTGGCAGCCGTGCCGGGCAGCCCCCGCCGCGGTGCCCAGGGTGCGCTCTGCCCGGCGCTGCCACCTGCGCTCCAGCCCCCGGGCCGCCCCCTTCCGGCCCGGGCACCGCCCCGGGCGCCGAACCCGGTGAGTGCGCGCCGCTGCGTTGTTGACCTTGGGTGGGGACCTGGGCTCCGAGACGCCCAGCTGACCGCCGGGCTCCTCCCCTGCTGGGGTCCTCGCTAGGCTCCGCCTGTGCTCCTGGTCCTGTCCCTGCGGTGGCCTGGGCGTCTGAGGCCTCAGGTGAGCCAGCCGCATCTCGGCTCCCCGGCGGCCTAGCCCGGGTTCACAGGGTTTAGAATAATTAAATTTGCCGCCACTTAAGCGCCGAGGACACGCTTGTAGGTGCTTGCAGACGGACCTGATGCTCACTGCGGAGGTGGCCTTCCACCTGGAGCCAGGGGGGAGGAAGGCAGGATGACGTGGTGATCAGGTCGGTTCGGGCCTTCACCCTTACCTCTTCCGTCCTCTCCCTGTAAGGGATGTGTATTGTGTTCTGGCTGTCTGCTGTCTGCCCTTGAACTTTCCCGTAGCTGCTCTGTGGGGGAGCTGCTAATGGCTTGTCTGGGCTGGCCACAGGCTCTGGGTGACTTTTGAGAGGCCCTGGAGTAGGAGAGGCTTGCTAACCCGAGTGTCATTCCCCCCAGGGCCTTCAGTCCTTATATGTGCTTAGAAGCTCAGTGATAACAAATTAGCAAAGGAGCTAAGGGGAAAGCTGGAAGCACTGGGGGGAATTTTAGCGTGGTCCTCAGCCCTTCCTGGCTCTCCCCCTGGATGTGGTGACCAGTGTGTGTCCATCTTCAGGGAAAAGCTGGCTGCAGCTGGAAAGCTCATGGGAGAAATTCCTCCCCTGTCTGTGAAGTGTTAATGCCGGAGGTGTGAAGCCATGGAGCCAGGCAGACAGAGCCCCATCAGCTCTCACCTCCTGAGGGCTGTTTTGGGGTCTTTAGTTAGTCTGGCCTGGCTGCAACTCTGAGGATGGTGGTAGGAGGCTGCCCTGTCTCAAAATCATGGGGCTTGCATAGGTGGGCTTCTAGAAGATTCTTGGGCCTCTTGTTCCACCTTCAGCCTACCTCAGTCCTTCTGAGATCCTGGATAGGGGGTGAGTGCCTCTCAGCTCGGTTAAGAAATGGTGCCAGATGAGGCCTAGTTCCTTTGTCCTTACACTATGCCAGTGGTCGGCAAACTGCAGCTCTTTGGCCCCTTGAGTGTGGCTCTTCCACAATATACCACGTCCTGGGCAAGTCTATTTTGAAGAAGTGGCGTTAGAAGAAGTTTAAGTTTTAAAAATTTGGCTCTCAAAAGAAATTTCAATCGTTGATATTTGGTTCTGTTGACTAATGAGTTTGCCAACCACTGCACTAGGTGAATTAATCTTCAGATGGCCTCAAAATCAATCCCAGATAATGGGAGGATAAAACAGTAGCCTCAGAGAAAAAGCAGGAAGATACCATTTCTTCCCTAGAGCTGCTCACTGGCCTTCCTGGCTCTTCCCCCCAAATATTAATCTCTTCCTTCTTTTGTGTGCCGGCTCCCTACCTAGGACAGGAGACCATGGCTTTGATATATGAGGGTCTAGGGCGTAAGAGGATGGGCTCAGGGTGGAGTGCTGGCCATGCAAACTCAGCAAAAAATATCCTTCATAGAGAATGCTATTTCTGCTGATCAGATTTCACTTCTAAACATGGTTTCCTTTCCCTTGTACCTAAGTAGAGGGAGCTTGAGAGAGAGCCAGGCACACAATAATACTCCATAAATATTGTTGAATAAAGGAACACAATGTCCAGATGAAAATTCATGTTCATGTTCTCAGCTGGATTCTCCCGTGCCTGACGTCTTTGTGACAATGACGTTGCCAGATAACACTTGTAAAAGCACGTGATAACTAATTTGATTGTCATGGTGACTTATGAGGTCAGTACTATTATTAACCCCATTTTATAGGGAATAAAACTGAGCCAGAGAAGTTTAGTCACTTGCCCAAGGTCATGGAACAGGATTCAAACCTAGTCAGTCTGGCTAGAGTCCATATTTTGAAACACTCATTGTAATGACTCTGAGCATGCTATAAGTAGATTAATTATGAGCTCATTCACTTATTTATTTTATGTCTTCACCCATCATATTTACTGATGCCCACTGTATTTCAGGTACAGGAACACAGTAGTGAATGAGATGGTCATGGAGCCGATAGTTAGCAGGTGAAACCCCTCTAGCCAACTCCCATGTGAGTGAGTCATGTACAGTAAATACAACAGAAAATGAACCCCCATAGGCAAACCCACAGCATTCTTTTGGGGGAGGGGACATAATTTGATTCTAGCCTTTCCTGTTCCTGGGTGTTTGGAAGGGGCACTTAAGTGATCAAAGAGAATGTCTTCTGGTCTCCTGGGCAGGACATACAGGTCCTGGGCCTGGTTATCGTAGGTTGTCTTAATGTTTCTTCAGAAGGGAAATAAAGCTTTGAGCTTGGCACCTGTGCTTCTCAGCCCAAGGGGACCTCTGGGCCAAGAGGAGCACTGACCTGTTAGGCTCAAGATGGAACTGGAAGGGCCTTGGGAGCTTGCTCCCCTGAGACAGAGCCAGTGTCCTCTTTTTTTAAAATTTTTTAAAAAATATATATTTTATTGATTTTTTTACAGAGAGGAAGAGAGAGGGATAGAGAGTTAGAAACATCCATGAGAGAAAATCATCGATCAGCTGCCTCTTGCACACCCCCTACTGGGGATGTGCCTGCAATGTACATGCCCTTGACCGAAATCGAACCTGGGACATTTCAGTCCGCAGGCTGATGCTCTATCCTAGGGGTGTCGAACTCAATCAGAGAAGGGGCCAAAATCTAAAATCCAGCCTAAATCGCGGGCCGAATGGTTTACTGAACAGTCATAACCTGTCATTGTGATGGAAACGCAGCGGAGTGCAGTGATGACAGCGTGGTGCGGGCCACATTGCAAGGCCTGGCGGGACGGATTTGGCCCGCGGGCCTTGTGTTTGACACATGTGCCTATCCATTGAGCCAAACCGGTTTCAGCCGAGCCTGTTGTTCCATCCTGTGTCACGTTAGCGAGGGTGGTGCCTATCTCCAACGGGACCTGATGGAATGGGTCTCACACCCACAGCTGGGCCCAGGAAGATGGCTTTCTCAAGGTTGGGGGAATGAAGGCTCCTAAGGGAAGGCATTTTCCAAAGCCCGGGCCATGGGATATTAATAGGTACTTTTTCCTTTGACGGCAGGGGTGGGAGGGCCAAATAAGCCTGTTGGGTTAAATGAAGGTAAGCAGCTTTCTTTACTGCAGGGTTTCTCAGATGTTTAGAATCCGCTAGTAGGAATTGTGCACGACTCCCCATAAGGGACAATGGAATGCAGTATTTTCCAAGCCTTCCAACCTTTTATGTTCTGTAGACCACAGTTTGGCGCATGTGTGTGGAGGCTAAGGCTAGCCATAGTTTGGTTCAGGGTGCAGATGAAATTCCCTGCATGCATTGGGTCTAGGTAGTTTCTCAGATGCATGGGCTGGGATGCTCCCCTAGCAGCCTCCCCCCTCAGACCTCCCCTCCCCCAAACACAGCAGCAGACGATATCATTTGCCTCTTCTCCCTCTGGCAGACCAGGACTAAGGGATTGGATTCGTTTTCTCTGTGAGTTCAGGGCGTTTAATTATTTAATGAATACATATTACCCTCCCTCTAGGTGGATGGCAGCCTGCTGGGTGCGCTGTTTATGAAACAGCTGTGAGGACAGGTGGGACCTAATCCCTGGGTAGCTAAAGCTCAGCAGTGGCCCAAGGATCGTGTGTCAACCATGTAATCCTGCTCTGTCCGCACCGGAGCTATTATGTGGGCTCAGGGAGGCACAACCTCACGATTGGACACGAGAAGGTGACTCAGGCCCAAACGAGGGCCGCGGCCAGCCTCCCGGTAAACAACTGGGCTCTTCTCCCCAGGATTTCAACAGCACCACAGAAATAGCCATTTTGCTCACGGTTATTTCCCTGACCCACGCTACTTATCTAAGTCCCTGGGAGGTCGTGTGTCTGTTCTGAGCCTTCCCACCCAGCACTGTCTTTCTAAAGGGCAGATGGAGAGTGGAACTTGGCGTCCTGATTCTGCTGTAAGCCACCATCCTGCTTGCTTTAAGAGGACTGCTCTGTGGGTGACTGGAGGCATCCCCACCTTCCCAGCTGCTGAGTCCAGCCAGGGCTCTGGAGGCTTCTCAGAGCTGGAGGCCCACGTGGGAGCCGGGAGCGGCAGTAAGGAGAGGGTGGGAGGTTGGGCTCAGGTGGGTGGAGTGGGACATACTTTGTGTGTGTGTGTGTGTGTGTGTACGTGCGCACAGTCACACTCTGGTGGAGCTTGTCATGCTGCCCACTCACCTGTGATACGCAGGCTCCCTGGGGTGAGAAAGGAAGGGCTGGAATAAGATCTGCCAGCTTTTCATCTCAGCTTGCTCCTGCTTGTTTCCCCTCTGAGTCTCTGTCCTTCCCTGGGAAAAGCTGGAGCAGTTGTTAGACCTTTCCTCTTTCAGAGGAAGCTCAGGGCTCCCCTGCCAGTGCTGAGGTGCCCCCAATAGGTTGTTTTGATGGGCCTTCTTTTTAAAAAAATATATTTTTATTGATTTTTTACAGAGAGGAAGAGAGAGGGATAGAGAGTTAGAAATATCGATAAGCTGCCTCTTGCCTTCTGAGGGGAGGCAGCAAAGGTGATGTATTGCAGGGCACTGCTCCGCTGTCAGGAGGAGACTGGATGCTAGAGAGAGGCGGTGCTTACCTTCTGTGGTGGGTCAGGAAGGCTGGGCCGTGGCTTGAGTTGCTGGCTCCGGAGAGGGCTGTGAACAGGGCCAGGGCACTGCGTTCAGGATACAGCAGCCGTGGATGATTGGCATGACCTGAGCCCGTTAGGGCTCTTGGAAATTTTCCACTTCCATTTCATCTTCACGGGAGAATTTCCAGCTCTCGCTCAAGGCTGCTCTCAGATATGCAAAGCAGAGCCCTCCCACCCCAGCAGCTGCAGATAGGAGCCGGCAGCTGCTGCGCAGACACTGACTCAGCTCAGCCTCCCGCCCAGCCCAGCCTGCTGCCCTGGCCCAGTGCGTCGCCTGTGTGGCATCCCCAGGAGCAGCCATGGAGACTCCAGTGCCCGGATCAGGTCTGTGTCGCGGGTGCCGACGGTGGGGTTCAGGCGAGAGCAGGAAGCAGCTTCATTTGTTTACATACAGGGCACGGTGTGCTTTCTTTCTGGAGGGACCGTGGTGCCAAGAACAGTTCCTGTTTGTTGAAATGGGTGGCATTTTACAGCTTTCTAACTCCGGGCCGCTTCTACAGATTCATGGCAGGGTGTTGTATGTGAGGGTGAGATAAGCTGGATCGTGAGCCCCTGGCGGCAAATTCGGCGGCGCCTCCCACGCCTGCTGGCTCCGGCTGACAGAAAGTTGAACGCCAGCTCTGAACAAGCAGCTGGAGCTGAAGCTCCGCGTTGCACCTGCAGAGCGGGCTTTCCTCCCCCTGTGGCCCGTGTCTGTGGGGCTGAGGACACAGACGAGCCATGGAGGAGCGGCTGGTATGTGGGGACTGTCTGCCAAGGATGCCCAGGAGGCAGCAAGGATACAGGAGGCACCTGAGGCCCACTGCGGGGGATTAATATGGTTCTGTAAAAAAAAAAAAAAAAAAAAAAGGGGGGGGGGAGAGTCTGTGGAAAAATGGTACTCTGTGATCCTTGAGTCTTTGATGTGCCTTGTGAATCTGGGTTGAGGGGCTATGGGATATAGCATCTCCCTCATACAGACCTGTTCTATCAGCAATAGGTATGGGCATCTTAAGGGACCCAGTTTGAGAAAGGCTGGTTTAAGCTAAAGGAAGAGGGGGATTTTTTTGTAGGAAGGTGCATCCTGAAAATGATGTTTTGTTGACTTGAGCACGCTAAAAATGCTTCATGGGAAAGCATGGCAGGATTGGGCATCAGAGCCCTCAGGCACTAAGGACCCCTCTCCCCCAAATGCCCATTTCTGAGGGGGCCTGGGTGTGTGGCTGGTATGTGTTTGTGGGGATGGGAAGGTGGTGGTGGGCAGCTTCTGTCCAGGGTGAGAGCCAATGCAGAGATGGGTCTCAGTGGTGTGATTCCTTGGGGCTGGTCTGCCTGGGGTGGGTTGTGGGGGGTGGGGAAGGGAGAGGACCCTAAAGGTCAAAACCTGCAATGTTGAAGTTTGTTTTTCTATTTTATCTTTTATATTAGCTCTTCAGTCTTCATTTTCTTCCTGTCTCCTTTGTGTTTGTTAAAATGACATTATAACAGCATTAATGGTCAAAATCAGACATTGCCTCTCACAACGGCAGTCATGCCGTCTGGCCATCTGAGCGCATGTCTCTCTTACAGCCCTTGTCTACCAGGGGATACATTTTCATGTCTTTGCACCAAGCCTGGGTATCATTTTATGTATTCCACCCCCACCACCACCACCGCTTACTGTTATTTTGTGTGGCTGCATTGTCCTCTTCATGACAATTTTGGTTGCTTAGCAATTGTTTCAAGGGAGTCTGCTCCAATGCAGACATGTTAAAGCTGTGCCTGTAAACCCCCTGTGTATTTCCCTTCCTTCAGATCCTTTTCTTAGAAGTAGTTTCTAGGGGGTGTTCAGTGGTGTGGGTGCTTCCTGGCTTTGGCTGCTCCTTGCCTGGGGCCCAGGGGATGTCTCCTTCTGAGATGTGACGTTTTGAGACGTTGCCCCTGACCTGTGGTGTTAGACTGGGGAGGTGAAGGTCCATCCAGATTTGTTCTGACCTAACAGCTCCTTCTGGATCTGGTTCTCTGTCTCTCTTTCCATTTCTCTGCCCTGTCATCGTCTCCCAGCCTCTGCTCTGATGGTTTCCAGCTTCCCCTTCTCTCTGCTGTAGGACATGGTGATCTCCAGTCAGCTCTGCTCTTCCTCTTTGCAGGCCAGGCCTTTGCTGTTGTCCTGATCTCTGCCACCACAAGCAGTGGTGTGTGTTGGGGTTCCTCTGTCCTAACCAGCTTCCTCCCACTCAACCCCCTAACGGTGAGAGAGGCCCAGGAAAGGCAAGGTGCTGGTGTGGAGGGAAGGAGGAAATTGATTTCACAGTTAAGGGGCTCACAGATGTTCTTTACTGCCCGTTACTAGTGTGCTCGTCTCCTTCCTGTCTGGGTCATGAATGAGACCCAGGTGCCGCAGAGAAGAACTTGGAAGCTGTTTAGTCTAGCTCCTTTTTCTCAAGCTGAGAAACTGGGCAGATGCGGAGAATGTCTGTCCCCAGGTTGCTCAGTGAGTCCCTCCTCCCCCATATTTGCTTCCGCTCCCTGCCAGACACCAACTGGGCACTGTCTCACCTTCATCCTCATCTGTTGGGCGACAATGCCACTTTTCTCTTTAAACCTTCCTTGAAGAAACCATGGTGATAGGGGACAGGAAGCTCTTCTCCCAGAGCCACTCCCTGTTGGAAGGATGCAGTATTCACCCATTCCATAAGTGTGATGCTGCGTGTCCACCTGACACCCAGATGGACAAAGAGAAGCAGCACAGCGTAGCAGGTGAAGAGTACAAATGGAACCAGGTTCTGGGTTCGAATCCCCGAGCAGAGGCTCAGGAAGCCACGGCTGAGAACAGCATAGGTCTCTGCTCACTGGCCAATGAGCTCTCTGTGCTTTCATGGTGTCATCTGTAAAATGGCAATGATAGGATTAACAGACTTAATAAATATAAAGGCAGAATGTACTTAATCAATGCTATCTAAGTGTTAAAAAAAAAAAAAAAAAAAAAAAAAAAGACAGAAAGGCAGAAAAACAGAAAAGAAAGGAACTAACCTGGCCTACAGAATACACGGAGGTGGATAAGGGCACGCTGCTTACAGGAAGCAACTTTTCAGCTGGGCTGCGAAAGGTAAAGAGTATTCCTGAATCCAAATCTTTACAATAGTCCCCCTTTATCCATAGTTTTACCTCCTGTGATTGTAGTTACTCATGGTTAACTGTGGCATGGAGATATAAAATAGAAAGTTCCAGAAATAAACAATTCGTATGTTTTAAATTGCATGCTGCTCTGAGTAGCGTGATGAAATCCCGGGTGGGCCTGCTCTGTCTTTCCCGTGAGGTGAGTCATTCCTGTGTCCGGCGTCCCCACGCTGTAGATGCTTCCCACCCGTTCGTCACTGAGCTGTCTCCGTCTAAGATCAACTATGTCACAGGGCTTGTGTTCAAGGAACCCTTATTTTACTTAATGACAGCCCCAAAGCCATTCTCATAACTTTTATTCACCTAACTTTCATGACAGTATATGGCTATAATTTTTCTACTTCTATTTTCAATGTTAGTTATTGTTGTTAACCTCCCACTGTGCCTTATTTATAAATTAAACTTTATCATAGGTATACATGTATAAAAAAGTCATAGTATGTTACCCAGCTGTGTGGTTCAGTGGTTGAGCATTGACCTATGAACCAAGAGGGCATAGTTCTATTTCCAGGCAGGGCATATGCCTGGGTTTTGGGCTCGATCCCAGTAGGGGGCATATAGGAGGCAGCCTATCAGTGATTCTCTCTCATCATTGATGTTTCTATCTCTTTTCCTCTCCCTTCCTCTCTGAAATCAATAGAAATATATTTTAAAAAAAATTGTAGTAAATATAGGGTTCAGTATTATCTGGGGTTTTAGGCTTCCCCTGAGGGTCTTGCAACGTACAATATTTCCCATAGATAAGAGCAGGGGAGGGAGGCACTGTATTTTATTTGTTGTGTCTTATTAGAAGTTCCAGAGGACTTCAAAGACTGGAACTGTGATTGAAAATTCTCTTTTCAGCAAACGGCCTTGTTTCATGAGAAGAGGAATGCAGCCTGGGGTTTCCCAGGGCTCTGCTGTCCTCCTGTGGGGCCTTATGATAATCATCAAACCCTTTGGGCTTCCCCTCTGTGCAGTGGGAATGAGGGTTGGTCACTGGTGCACCTGGAATGGCCTCCTCAGTCTGCGGGAATAACATCTCCCTTCTCCTCCACGAAACAGAGCAGGGAAAGGCAGGGTTGCGGGTGTGCTTCGGATCCTGAGTTCAGACCAGTGGACAGTTTATTCTTTGACTTCCGGTCACTTGCTTTCCTCCACTCTTCACATCCAGTTTCTTGTTGAGCTAGTTCTAGACATTGGCATGCTGGGTTTTGTCAGGGGGAAATCCTGAGTAGGCAGCTGACCCCAAGGATTGGGGGCCTGGCCCTTATTTCAGTACCTTCTCGTCCCCCCATGGTGACTCCGGCCACCCAATAATCCGTGAAGGTTAACGCTTGTTCTTTCTCTGTTAGCCGAGATGCCGCGCCAGTTCCCCAAGCTGAACATCTCTGAGGTGGACGAGCAAGTCCGGCTCCTGGCTGAGAAGGTGTTCGCTAAAGTGCTCCGAGAAGAGGACAGCAAAGATGCCCTGTCCCTCTTCACCGTCCCCGAGGACTGCCCCATCGGCCAGAAGGAGGCCAAGGAGAGGGAGCTGCAGAAGGAGCTGGCGGAGCAGGAGTCGGTGGAGACCGTGAAAAGGTTTGTCCCCGCGGCTCAGCTGTCGTGTGCACAGCTGTGCAGACCCAGGACCCAGGCCGCCTGTGGATGTTCATCCTGAGGTGGCTCCTGGGAACTGGCCTGGCCCTGGGAGCTGAGCTTATTTCTTAGCCAAAACTGCTCGACCATCACTTAGTTCATGAAGGACATTTCGGTGTGTCTGTTTAGTTGAAAAGATAAAAACCGCACCCTGCTGTTGTTTTAATAATGAACCAAGTACATAGATGCACACTATTTCCACATGAAATTTCTATTTTGTGTGTGTGTAAATTTTAGGATTTCCTGGGAAATACCAATTTTACTTCTTTTCATCACTTAGAAAGTACTTTGCATTATTAATTAACTCAGTTCATTATTTACTGGGTCCTATGCTGGGCAAAGGGGATGTAATAAAGAACAAGACAGATGTAGTCCCTCCCTGTAGAGTTTGCAGTGGTCTGGACAATAATTAAGTAAGTGCACAAATTAATTTAAAAAATGACAAATTATGTGCACTATTAGTCAGGTCTAATCAGAAAAACAGAAACCACTGGAGTACTGGAAATAGGATTTAAAGCAGGGAGTTGGTTACAGATGTGGTAGAGAACTGAGAACACAAGCAGAGACTGGACACAGTAGGAAGCAGCTACCACCGTCAGCTGGAGAGGCAGTGGAAAGAGGGAGCATTGCTGGAGTCTGGGGTGGAAAAGCTGTGGCCTTCCACATGAACACTGGAGCCAACGAGGGAAAGCAACAGCTGCAGAGAAGCCTCCCAAGGCAGAGATAGACGCAGGAGACACGTGGCTTTAATCCTTATGGCACCTGCCAGTTTCCCCCAGTGGTTGCCATTGGCCAAACCTAGCCAGAAGGCAGTTGATGCACACATAGCTGGAAACACAGGGGAGGGGAGGACCTGAGGACAAACAGTCCAGGCCCAGCCCAGGCCAGGGACTCTGAAGGAGATGAACGGGAGTTGAGAGGAAGTAAAGGGGTGTGTGCCTGGGTGGGGTGGGGTGGGGTGGGGGACAGCCCTATTCAGAAGGGGTCGTTAGGGAAGGTTTCTTGGAGGAGGTGACATTGTAGCTGTAAAGGGTGTAAAGGTATAAAGGGCCCAGCGATGCTCAGAGCTGGTTAGAGGCCCTCTATCTTCAAGGCCCATGTGGGGTGGAGGGTGGCTAACGGGGTAAGCCAGCGCCAGGACAGGCATCGGACCAGACTGGCCTTGTGCTCCCTGATAAGAAGCTTGGATCTTGGTCCAAGTACAGTGGGAAGCCCTCACCCTGCCACGGTTTATCTCACCTGGGAGGGCAGAATTAAAGAGTAAAAACTTTGGATGGAGTGTCCGGGGGGCTCTGGCTGGATGCCCGCCTGGCCAGCATTCTGTAGACTTTAATAGCTAATACAATGGAATTGGGGTCTCTACTGCAACCTAGTCGGTGATCAGGTTCTTCCTAATGCACCTCCTTATTTTGAAAGGCAAGCCCTTTCCTTTCTTGGTAGTGTAGAAGTTCAGTCTTTCCTTAACTTTTTTGTTGTTGAAAGAAGTAAAATGTTGAGTATTGGTACAAAAGCAAGAACAGAACTTCACCCAGAAAATAAATGCTCTCCCTCCTCAGAGGGGCTGTGAGCCCATGAAATGAAGGGGTTGTTGGTGCCATCGGCCAACTCTGAGTGCCAGCCTTGTATTGGGAGGGGAGGGGCTCAGCAGCATGGTCATCCCTGGTGGGCAAAGAAGGGCCTGACTGTAGAGACTCTCTTCCCTGCCGCCCTGCTTCTCAGATGGCGACTTCATGGGCTGATTGGTCTGTAGGCCTTCTGTGTCTTTTGAATGAGCCTTTAGATTAGGGGTGTCGAACTCAATCAGAGAAGGGGCCAAAATCTAAAATCCAGCCTAAATCGCGGGCCGAATGGTTTACTGAACAGTCATAAACTGTCATTGTGATGGAAACGCAGCGGAGTGCAGTGATGACAGCGTGGTGCGGGCCACATTGCAAGGCCTGGCGGGACGGATTTGGCCCGCGGGCCTTGTGTTTGACACATGTGCTTTAGATCATTAGTAAAGAGGAGTCCTGGCATTTTTTATTTTATTTTTTTATTACCAGGAATAAGAGGTTTCTGATTCCAGTTTCCATTACAGAGTGACACTGGGCCAGGCGTCTGTAAAAAAGAGTTTGTTTCCTATCACTGCCTCCTTCTTCCAAGTCCAAATGGTGCTCTGTGATTCCAGAAGTTCTTCTGCGAAATCCTCTCCAGAAATGTTGTTCTGTCCCTACGTCCTAGGTGGCGGTGGTCTTGCTGTGCCTCCCTTTAGACTGGAAGCTCCTTGCGGAGTGTATCTGGCTCTCACTGCACCCGGGGATCCAGCCCGGGACTGGCCTGTGTTGCTGAGCAGTGGGTGTGTAGCAGAGGAAAGAGGTCCTGTTTCCCCCGTTTCACCACAGATACTGCATCGGGGTGGCCATAGCTCCCGGGACCAGCGTGTTCTGCCACTCAGCAGTGTGCTCTGTGACCTGGGGCAAATTAAGAAACCTCTCTGTGCCCTGTGTCTTCCTCATCTGTAAAATGAGGATGGTAATAGTAGTTGCTTTCAGGAGGTATGCTGAGGGGTGAGGGAGTTCACATCTGTTAAAGGCTCAGGACAGGGCCCGGGTCACAGGAAACCCCGTGCATATGTCCCCTGTCCAACGTCCTGCTGCTGAGATGGCGATGGGCCGCAATAGCAGCTGCTTCTCGCCGTGGGGTAAGCGCCTGGCTGCACAGTTTACCTTCCTTCTGTAATCCCCACATCTCAGTAAGTGGATATTCTATGACCTTGATTTTGCAGATTAGGAAGCTAAGGCACAGAGAAGTTCATTTGCACAAGGGCACGTAGCAAGTAAACGACAGAGCAGGGACGAAGACTCATGTCCTTTGCTGTGGAAACAAAGAAAGAGGTTTGGAATAAGCATTCCAAATGTGCATACATATATCAGAGTGAAATATGTAAAAAGATTGTCAAGAAGTAAACACTTTTATTATGGGGTTGTCAATATATGTGAATTTTAAAACAACAGGAAAGTCAGCAGTCAATGAAAGACATTTAAAAAAGAAGAGTTAAAAACAACAACGCGTGCATTTTGAATGCAGAATCCCACACTTTGCCCACGAGGCTCTCCCACTGTTAGTCAGGAAGGGGTGGGGTCCTTGGCTCATCGTAGGCACTGGAGTGACATGGGTGTGGCTCCCCAATATATAATTGGCGGCTTCTGAATGACATGGAGAGAAACTGGGCTGAAGCTCTTACCCTACCCACTGGCTTTTTTTCTGTCAATGACAGCCTGGTCCCTAAACTACCTGGCCAATGTCGCAGCGTCCTCTGGGGCTGTGCCACCCCCTCCCCCCAATTCTGTCTTTCTGTTTCACTGCTCAGCAGAGGTACCGTTATGCAAATGTTCAGGTGTGACCAGTTTGGAGGAGGAACCCTTTCCCCAGCCCCCTCTTCATCTCTAGCTCCTCCCTGACATTCTGAGTGTAAACGGAGGCTCCCTGCAAGGAGCCCACCGGCCTCCAAGTTCCGCAGTCAGTGGATTTGTTTCAAACTGTGACATGAGATGGGGCTTCCAGTTTGGGACAAGCCCTCCCTCGCTTTGGCTCCTCTGGTAAGCTTGAATACTCCTGGTGCTTGGAGAAGGCTTTTTACATTTTTTTATGTTTACAACCATCTTCTTTTTCTCTTGTATAAAATGAGAGAGAGAGAGAGAGAGAGAGAGAGAGAGAGAGAGAGAGAGAGGGAGAGAGAGAGAGAGAGGAGAGAGAGACTCTTCTAGGTCTACTATAAAAGCATAAGACAAAACTAGGAAGTAAAACAGCTTCTTACAAAAAAGAAAAACTTGGTCCGTGAATAGGAAGGATGAGCGCCTAGAGTGCAGCGGCTTGCTGTGTGGATTCCCGTGGCTGTAAGAACTGAACTGGGCTCAGAGGTCTCCCTTCCAGCGAGGCGGCAGGGGGGGGGGGGGCCTGAGTCCAGAAAGCCAGTGCCCCAGGCTGCTGGGAGAAGCACTTGTCTTTACAGGGGAGGCCCCAATCTGGAGGCCCCAATCTGGAGGCCCTGATCTGGAGGCCTGCAGGGACCGCTTGCTGCAGGCCCGCCTCCTTAGGAAGATGGCATTGTCTGGGTCTCCACTGGGAGGGGAGTGGTGGGGAAGGCCTCACGGTGAGAGGGAGGGGTGGACAACCTATGGACTCAAAGTCAGGAGGCAAAGACAAGAAGACAGGAAAAGCCGTGTGGTACCCAGAAGCTATCTTTTGTTCACTTTGAATTTCTTCATATTACCTAGCCTGAGTTCACCTACCCCACACAAGTACATAGTTGGATTTTAGCCAACGCTGACAACACAAGGAATTTCTGAGCAACCAAAATGCACATTTAGTGCTCTCCGGCCTCTCCTATTTCTCCTTTTTAAATAACTTTATTGGGATGTAATCCATAGAACACACTGTCCACCCATTTAAAATATATAATTCAATGGTTTTTTATTACATTTGCATAGTTGTGCAACCATCACCACAATCAATTTTGGAATACTTTTATCATCCTCCAAAAAAAAACAACAAACCAAAAACCTGTACCCTTTAGCTATCATCCTCCCGATATTTCCATCCCATCTCCTATTTATTATTATGCTGCACAGATTCTAATAAGCTGATTATCTTGTTTCTTACCCTGTGACAATTTAAAAAAAAATTATTACTGACATTAATTACAGATGTCCCTCATCCTCCCCTCCCATTTTTACTTTACCCATCTCTACCCAGCCCCTGTCCCCACTCCCTCTGACCATCACCACACTGTTGTCTGTGTCCATGTTTTCTGGCTAATCCCTTCACCTTCTTTCGTCCTCTCTGCCCCACCCCTCTCCCTCTGATGCCTGCCAGTCTGTTCCATGTATCCATGCCTCTGGTTCTATTTTGTTCATTAGAGTCCACATTTAAGTGAGATCATGTGGTATCAAATTTAAGGAAGC